TTTGGTGGAAAATGATGATATTTTGATTGTGAATCTGAAAGCAATCTTTTTTGGTCTTTAGAGAATTTAGGTGCGAGAATGAACTTTCCGATGCTGCGATCCAATAATCAAACTGCTGAGCAGCAGCCTCTTCAAGAGTCTCATGTAGAACAAATGTTGAAACGCACACATACTCTGGGGTCCCTTATTGCAGAAGATCCATATCTGGACAGTAGAACTTCTGAAACTCGCGATGCAGAGAGTGACGAATGCGGGAGCGATAATGGCAGCTTTCCAGGTTCAAGTGGAAAGAGTAACCCTCAAATTCATAGCCATGTAGACGTTGCAGAAGATGAAGGATGGATAATTATTCCATATAGTACGGCTTCTTGCTTGGCTTCATTGTTTACAGCTTTTAATTATGTGTATGTGTTCAAAGTGATTATATATATTGTCTTATCTGGCTCCTTAGCATGGTCAATCCATGTTAAGATCAGTATATTGCTTCTGAATAATATCAAAATATAGAGATGAAAATAATGAAGTCAAATCAATGGAGTTATGTACTTCACTATGAGTCCCTCTGATTTATTACAGCAACGCAGCCACTATATTATAATCTGAAGCCTAAAGATGGTTTCATAATTCTTTCTTTCTCAATTTTCTTTTTAGTGTTTTCATTTTCCTTTTCCTTTTCTTTTTCTTTATTTTTTATTTTTTTTATTTTTTATTTTTTATTTTTGGTTGGAAACTTAAATTCTTCTGGTATTTACATTTTTATCTTGCATCAAGAATGGAGCTACATGGAAAGTGAAATTATTGCCTCAGTTCTTTGATTTCTGCACAAGTTTACTGAATTTTTTGCAATATTTTTTTGGTTGTTCCTTCCTTATCAGATTAGGTCAGCTTACAATAGCTAATATTAGATCCCTAGTTTAGTTTCGCTAGAGTCTTATTTAATTTATCTCTTCGGAGAGTGTTTTGGTCACATTTGCCTTTCTGTTTCAGAGTAAACTTAAGTATAACCAGATGAGTAAAGAAATAGGGAGATGATGAAATAAAGGGCATTAGACATTCTTATAATTGTGCTAGATGATCTTCTTTTTCCAACACAACTTGACAAAACCACAAATTCTGAAGGGATTATATTTCTTTTTAAGTAACTAATATATTATGATTCCCCGCATTCACTATCAATTGACCAAGGCTTCCAAACATGTATATAAATGATTGTGTCCAAGTGTATGTTTCAGTTTCTTAGTATTTGCTCATTTATCAATTTTTCCTTACAATGACAAAAGAATCATTTTGTTCTGCTAAGTACTAAAGGTCAAAGTAAATTTCAGCTTTTGTAAATTTTCAGAAATTAATTTTGTTCTAATGATGGACGTAGGGGTTTGTTGGATGTTATTATGAATTTTGTGTTATTATGAATTTTTTATTATTATGTTTAACGGAGTAGCTGTTTCAGTAAAGGTGTCTATAATGTGTTCTTCTACCTGCTAAGAGCATCCTGATTTGGCTTCCTCGAAATATGTTTAACAAGTTCTTTCTTCATTTGTTTGAGTTATTTTAAGAAAATGACTTCACTTTATATATTAATTATTTTGTCAATAGGTAAAATTATTTTCCCATGGACTGGTTTTTACTCTTTGGTTGCTTTTTTGTCAGAGGAAATTCCTAATATGTGGATTGAGTCACCAGATATACTTTCATTTTGCTCTCTGGACCGCAGCTTTGTTTTTCCTGGTAGCTATTTCCTTTTCTTAGTTTTTTAATATGACATTCTATGTTTAATTTTCACATGCATATTTCTAGTTTGTTAGTTTTGCTTTCTTACATGTTTGCGCATGTCCTTATCTTAGGTGAGCAAGTGTATGTACTTGCTTGTTTGTCCACAGATAAACAGGAAACTGAAATTATTACACCATTTAAAGTTGCTGCAGTCATGAATAGAAGTTGTGTTGGTCAAAACACCAAAAAACAAAATGAGGAACCTGAAAATGGAACAAATCCTGTTTCTCACATGGTGGATATGGGGGCTGATGAGCTTGTTAATCGGAATGGTGAAAATATGATCAGAGATGATAAGCAGAATGGTGAAAATGTGATCATAGGGAAGATTGATTCACAAGAGTGTGTTTTGGCTGGTCAATCTCTCCTTAGAATGGAAGATAACAAACGACAGACTGAATCGTTGTTGCAAAGGTTTAATAATTCTTATTTTTTTGCTCGGATTATTGAGTCTAATGAACCACTATGGTCAAAGAGACGAACTTCAGAAGACTCTGTCAAATCTTTCGAAATGTTTGAAAAAAAACTGATAGAAGAATCTTTAGAAACTGTAAAGATTTTGAAAAAGAAGAACCATCTTAATGCTGCTGCAATTGATAGAGGAAACTTTGATGCCCGAACATCTGGAGGATTGGCAAGGGATGCTGTAAAGTGTTGTTCTCTTTCAAATGGAGACGTAGTGGTAAGATCCACAGAACTCTAAATGGCTACTATATCATTCTTTGATTTACAGGGAGATGCTTTCCCATCGTAGACTTTTATTGTTATATTTCAAGCTTGTTATTTGAAGGGTTGAGATTTATGGAGTTGTATTCTTCATTACACTTCATCTATCCTATGTAGAATAACAAAATTCTGCCCATTGTTCAAAAGCCTTGCTTTTGGACAATGTTATATTCATGATAGGTTTGTTCCTTTGCAATTGCGGTTGAGCGTGAGCTAGGATATTTTTGTTTAGTTGTTGATAGGTAGTTTTGTAATTACTATTAATAGATAAGTTTCTTGATGCCATGTGTATAAATATGCTTTATCTTAACTGACATGAAACTGAATTTGTTTTTAGTTGATTTATTGAATAGGTTATTCCTTGGTCTTGTGTATCCCATAAAGCAAAATGCGTTAGCAGCCACCCTGATTTTTCTCTGATGTATGTACATGTGCACATAGCCATTTGCGTGTTTGCTTGTGAACTCGTAAAATACATTTTATATTTGTTAATTTTCCTTCCCCAACTTTACTTCAACCCTGCTCTTGTAAGATCAAGGTCAGGTTTGGTTGAAAAGCAGAAATGGAGATGTTAACTTATCCCAAATTAGATGCAATGCGTAGTATTTTCTAATTCCAGTTGGTTTTTATAGACATATAGTAATGCTTTACTGCAGACCGTATATCATGAATGATAAATCATTTTTGGACTTGAGATTTTCTTTTCCTCAACTGATGGCCTTGACTTGTATGTATTCTGTTGATATGAAGTCCACTTTCCTTTTTGGAAGGGTGCAGGTGCTTTTACAGGTAAATGTTGGTGTTGAGTCTGTGCAAGATCCTGTCCTGGAAATTCTTCAGTTTGAAAAATGTCAAGAAAGAAATTTAACCCTTGAGAACCAGAAAATTCTTAACTTTCTAGATCAGGATCCTTCTGGCGAATTGTTAGAGTGGCTGCTTCCTTTGGATAATTCTATTCCTCCTCCAGCACGTCCTTCATTACCTCCTAAATTCAGTTCCAGTTCCAGTTCCAGTTCCAGCTCCAGTATTCGGAGCACATCAACGAAACCCACGGTAACTGGGTCATCTGGTTCACTCTTCTCTTTCGGTCACTTGAGAAGTTATTCAATGCCCTCACTTCCACCAAACACAACACCACCTCCAGCCGCTACAACTCCAAATGCTAAACCAAGCTTTGACCCTGAAGATTGGAACCAATTTTCATTTCGAAAGTTAGTGGAAAGTACGAAAACTGGAAATGAAAGGCTCTTATCTTTTCGAGGTGTGCCATTGGAACCAGAAAGATTCTCCGTTCAATGTGGTCTGGAAGGAATATTTACACCTGGAAGAAGGTGGAGAAGGAAAATTGAGATAATTGAACCTATAGAAATGTGTTCTTTCTCTGCTGATTACAATACAGATGATCTTCTTTGCGTCCAGATAAAGGTGTGGTTTCGTTTAAAAAAAAAAAAAATGGCCCCAAAAAAGGGGGGGTTTTTTTTAAAACCCCCCCCCCCCCCCCACACACACAAAAAAAACCACAATTTTAATTTGCATTAAACACTAAAATGTTATAGAACTGTTTCTTTGTCAGAATGTTTCCCCTGCACATGCACCAGATATTGTGGTTTTTATAGATGCGATTGCAATAATTTTTGAAGAGGCATTAGAGGATGGAACACCATTGTCATTACCAATTGCATGCATTGAAGCTGGGGATGAACACTGTTTGCCGAATTTAGCCCTCAGGTTTTTATGCAGTTAAAGTATTTTAATCTAGTCGTTGCAGTTATTAAGATCATTCAGAATATTTCTGCTTAAACTTTCTCATTAGTAGTGCATCTTAGTTGAGATAATGATTACTGTCTGTTAAAGATAATCACATCTACCCATATTACTTCCCAGTACAGTCTATCGAGCTGCATATCTTTACATTCAGCTTCAAGTTGTGTATAATACTACTTTATTCTCTCTCTCTCTCTCTCTCTCTCTCTCTCTTTAAGCCAAAGGCTTAATAACATCTTTCTTGCCTTTATTTCTTGAACTTTCAAAACTTGTTTACTAATTTTCTAAAAACTCTTTTTCTTGGTCAAATTTAATATCATCATTTCTCAGTTTCCTATTCTTTTAATGTCTTATTTCCTTCTTTTATACATCTAGATAAAATTGATTCTGGGATTAAGCCCCTGTTTGGGCTCCATTTTCCAAAAGTGCATTTTTTCCAAAACTCATTTTTAGCCACATTTTCCCATAAAATAATGTTACACATAAACCCAAAATATTTTCTTATTTTTTAACCACACATTCTCCATTAAATCACTATTCCAAAACACATTTTCCTCCAAAATCTCGTCGTGTCCAAACAGGGGCAAAGAATTTCATATACATTTTTTCATGTTCACACACGACGACCACAATTAGCATTGAATCTGTTCTAAACAGGAAGATGTTTTCTTGTTCTTCAAATTTTGACAGGTTGAATGTGGTGTATTATTGGCAGGAGAGGAGAAGAACACTCTTTTATTCTCAAACCGGCAACATCATTCTGGAAGCACCCCAATGGTCATGACAAATTTTTTTTACAACCATCGTATTCATCGGCTGGAAATGTGGCTTCAAGTTTGCATTACTACTCCTGCATTGAAGGGAAACAGAGTGGATCCCCTCCCGATCACTATGCAGT